ATGAGTGGCCGATCGAGAAAGGTCAAAAAGTATCTTTTGTTTTTCCAGACTATCGTACATGGATACTTATGATTGGTTGAAATTCTTAATTATATACAATAAGAACATAATAATATGATTAAGAATACATGATAATTCATTAGAAACACTAATTAATCAAATAGTTTGCTTAATTTGACACTAAAATATAAGGAAACCCATCTTTAACTATTTTTACGAATTTTTAGTCAATGGTGGTAAATCGAAACTGTTCATCGAAAAAGTGTCAAATAAGAACTTGTCCAAGATCTCATCAATATATATGATCACACGAAAATTCATTTAAATCAGATGAAAGATGAAAACTGTACTTCTTTTGCGCACAGAAACAAATTTTGCGATAGTACAATCGATTGTACTTTCCATTGACACCAAAATCAATCAAATTGGGTAAATAGAATATTTGTCTCTATGTATATTAGGTTACATGACAATTTTTAAATGGCAATAGCTTAGTGACTTATTATCGTTCAACAAAAATGAAGATAAATTAACAAAAGTCAAGGTCATAAGACACAAGCCACGAAAATCAATCAAATTGGGTAATCTGTTAATTATTTATTTTGATTGAAGAAATGAGCGCGCTACAATAATATTCTTTAATCTTAAGATGTTAAGCTCTCCAGACTGTTTCATGAAGTTTATTGATTTGAATTCCACTATATAATGTATTATAACATGTATCGAGGAAGGTGATATAAACTCTTCACTGAGCGATTTGATGTGTCAAAGCTACACTGTAAAAAAAATCTCCATCAATCAACAGAAAAAATTCCGGCAGCTGATTTACCAGAATAAATATTTTGTAGTCAGTTAAATAACAGAATTTCTCGTTCCATATTTGCTTTGAATAACAGAAATATTTTTACAAGAAATCTGTTAAATTACACAATGACTAAAATAATTCCTTTCATTTACAGAAAATAGAAAGGATATTCTGGTAAATCAGCTGCCGGAATTTAGTCTTTAATTTCTGTATAAAAAACAGTTTTTTTAATAATTTTTTTTACAGATATTCTGTTTAATCTGAAATCACGTTATTTTCCTGTAAAATAACAAAACTTTTTACTTTTGATATTTATTGATATCATTTGATTTAAAATAATGATTAAATGATGGTAACTACACCTTTAGTTTTATATTTAATTGAACAAATGGCTATATAAAAACACTTTCTTGCACAAAAGCAAGTTATGAACATGAAATGAATGAGGTGACACAATTCAACATTATTCATTAAGTCCAAATAAGGCCATAATATTTAAATCTAATTAATTACAAAATATTACCTTCATAAAAACATTTTTAAAAGCCGTATCTCTAATACTCCTTCACCAATTATATAATTCTCTGAGTAATTATTGCAATTTGTTGAAATGAAAAAGTGCTAATGTTTTTTCTGTGTAACTGATTTAATCACAGCTACAACATGCACATAACTTTTGAAATTTAACAAAATTAACTTCAATGAAATCCACAAATTAAATCATAAAATCAATGACGTCATCCTAAATAATTATGACATACATGATTGACATCATTATTTAGGAGCGAGTTTGTGTTATTGATACCCATACTTACAGGAAAAACATAAATAGCAACTATTTGGCTAACAATGACTCGTAAATGAAATAAAACATGAGAACCCTTATAATCATCAAGGGTACATAGTAAAATAAATAGTTATACATACACACAACATTAAAACAATAGCTTACTGCCCACTGGCAACTTTTAGATAGAAAAATAAAAGTCTTTAGTGATTAATATCATACATTACATTCATGATGCATTTGTAGTATGGATTTACTGCTATATATACATTTTTTTTTCATTAATCTGTATAGCTCCAAATCTGACCCTATCCATTGACATTTTATTCAGATGGGATGATGTAACTGAATTGTGGTCCTGACATGATATGTCCTTTTCCATGGGAGTTGCTTCATTATAAAAGCAAATGAGCTTCTGTAATGGCGTAAATTCTTCAAAACTAGTGACTTCAAAATGGGTCGGAGCAACTCCAATGAAATTTGACTGATCTTAAACCAAGTTCCAACATACAATCCAAACATTACATTAATCGGAGGAACTGGGTAGGGCCAGATTTGTTGGGCGATTATCTATACTGTTAGATACATATCTTTTTCAATCATTCACAACAATCCAAATTATCATTAAGTTTAACAATTACAATAATATATACATATCAAGTTTCCTTAAAGATGGGTTCCCTTATTTTCATTTATAAAAATGAAAATGCTAATACTTATATGAATAGAAAATAGGTGTTCTAATGACTTGGAAAAATACCAGTTTGTCTCACATGTCCATAATTAATTCATAATTCGCTTAATAAGAAGAGAATTTCCAGCAGAATTCCAATGAGTGACCGATCAAGAAAGGTCAGAAAGCCTTTTTTGTTTATCCAGATGGATAATGGACATTTGTGATTGGTTAAAACTCTTAATTTAATGTAATAAGAACATAATGATATGATTAAAAATACATAATTCATTAGAAACACCAATTAATCAAATAGTTTGCTTAATTTGACACTAAAAAATAAGAATACTAATGTTTAAAGATGGGTTTCCTTATGTTTTAGTGACAAATTAAGCAAAGTATTTGATTGATTGGTGTTTCTAATGAATTATCATGTATTCTTAATCATATCATTATGTTCTTATTGCATATCCTTAAAAGTTTTAACCAATCATAAATGTCCATGTATGTTCAGTCTGGATAAACTAATCGTTCACTCATTGGAATTCTGCTGGTAATTCTCTTCTTATTTAGCTAATTATGAATTAATTCCAAGTCATTAAAACACCTCTACTTTATATTCTTATAAATATTAGTATTTTCATGTTCATAAATAAAAATAAGGGAACCATCTTTAAGATCAGATAAAACCAATAGCCCTATAAGAATTATGGACGGATGGACCAACAGAAGTAAGTACCAACGACAAATTACTTCCCCATGGAAATGTGGGCATACAAAAAAGTAAACCATTGAAGTGTCATTCGATAGCTGATAAATCACATTCCAAGTATGCCTCATACTTAGCTAGGTCTGCAGCAAATTTGAGTACTTGGTCATTTACACTAATCTTCTTCTTCTTATTTTTAGGAATAAATGAATTTTCATACCTAAACTTCAAAATAAACCTGCAATAGACCAATATAAATTTTACGCTCCATTCACAAAATTGTTTTGATACAGTCCATAATGCACTGCAATATTCAAGTCCTAAGTAAACTGAATTGTAGCATCAAACAACTTGTAGGTTTTTATGATATTTTCAGAACTCATAACACAAAGATCCTACTTTTGTTTGGACAAGCTATTGGCTATAACTGAAGGATTTTCTGAAAATCTACTAGTAATTATATTTTAAGAAAATCACAACATATTAAGTGAGAAGTAAAAGATTATTACTGCTTGATAAATGATAAAAAAAATAGGAAAGTCAAAAAATCAAAGCTGTCTGGTTGAAAGTAAAGAGAGGAAGAAAGACTAATTTTACTTACCTTTGGAAAGCTTTCAATGTATTCATTAATTTTTTAGGAAAACAAATATCAAAAATAAAAAAGGCTGCAAATTGCATGGCCATTGCTACTGAAAGACTTGGAATATCTTTATCAACTATCAAAACATATTTAGAAGCATGAAATATTGATGGACCTGGAAGATACAATCAAAATAAAGCATGGCATTTGATCAATATATTGCTTAGTAACTAATGCTGCTGGGAGCTGTAGATCTTTGATTACACTCTCAACATAATCTGGTGGATGCAAAAGAGCAGTAAACCCGAATGAATGTTAAGCTTATATTTCTTAATTCATGAAGCCAAAATGTTCATGTATCTCAATCAAGATTAAAAAGTAAAAGTACCTACCAATAGCAACTATGCAGGGTGTGCACGGAAGTTTTTCTGTCTTTAATGAATCCTGAAATAAAAGTCAGTTAAATACTTATTATCCTGTACCTGATATGAAATATAAAACATCACCGTACTTGCTCGTTCTGCTGTACCCATAACATAATCTAAGTGTATGCCAAGGCATACGGTTTTAAAATCAAGGCATACAGTTTTAAAATAGCTTTATAGCATACCTGACATACTATCAATTCTTTTAGATCTTCTTTGAAGATCATCACAAGCATCACATAAGACCAGGTTACATTAGGCTTTGATTGTAAATCTTGTAATTCAGAAAGATTGTATGAGTCGTTCTGGTCATTAAGGTAATTATAGACTCTTGTACTCTGAAGTTCCCCAATTGAAGAAAACAACTTCATTAAATCAGCATTGGTTAGCAGTTCAAAGTGTTTCAAAAAGTATTCACTTTTGAATACAAAAGGCCACTTGGCTTTCACCATGCTTATGCTGGTATCTTTGGCCATCAGATCAGTTCTCTGATCCTCATATATACTGATCATAGTTTCCATTACATTTTTTTTTCCACATCACTCAGTTCATCCTTCAAAAATAAATCCTTCAGTTCATCTTCATTCAGTTGACATGATCCTGCAGAAGACTTGACGTCCAAGCGAGCCTTTTTTTGTTTTTCAGAAGAGTCCGGTCTGTTTTCATTGTCTCTTTTGGATTCTAAAGATAACATCAATTCTTCGATTCCATCAGAAATTAACATGCCATCCATTCGTTTCTCAAAGCATCTCGGGTATCTTCTTACAACTCTGGCAGAAACCTCTCGAAGGATTTTTCTAGAAATCCGATGGTTGTTTTGATTGATTTCTTCCCACAAAACCTTCACTAACAAGCATCTTTGTTTCTTATTTAGTAATTCTTCGTCTTCAAAGGTCTGAATAATATTTGTTGGGATTTTATTCCATGGAATTTGAATGGTGGGCTGAGACGGAGATACAGATGAACTGCTCTTTAAACTCGATGTTGGTGATTGCAGAGGTGATAAAACACTTATTTCAGTCGATTCTTGAGATTGACCTAAAACAAAAAAGTCTCATGATTTAGACAGCAGCAATTGAGGAGAGTATATTTTTCAGTGTGATTTGAGAGAAATTTTGCTAGCAGCAGCATTAGCCTTTACACACCAATAATGCTAGTATGTTTAATTATTAAATATATTTCATTGCTACTACAAATATACTGCATATTCAAATGACCATTTGTTTTGGTTGATTTGTCCAAATTCAAGTCGGTTTGTCAACCAAAATCAAAATCTTCAAAGCCAGTCTATTTCTTATAGAAGTAATACTATGAAATATAACAATAATACTACTTACAGGCAGTTGCTCTTCACATTTTACAACTGTCTTGAAGAATAAGTTATCAATCTCTGTGTTATCACTGGTAGTGATTTCCAAATGATCTTCAGGGATATTGAACCTTTCACTTACTAAAATTACAAATATGAAAACAATTTAAAAAAAAAACAAACACACACAAATAATTCAGATGAACATATTGGTAAGGTTAACATTAATGAATTTTCTTTTTCACCAGGGAAACCCTTTATCTGATGAGTGGGAAATTGTCAATAGCAAATGATGGAAAATGGAGTATCATGTTTAATGGTAAAAATTGTGTGTAAATCAATTTGCACATATTCGAACAAACAAGGGCCATGGTTTATTATACACAGTATGTTAAAAAAGAGACCTTCATCATATAGCCTTCGCTCTTCTGGCGAGGATTGATATGTGGGTTCATGACCGTTTTTCTTCTGTACATGGCTTCCTTCTTGTTATATATCCTCATGTTTACCCCCACTACTTCATTTCATCTGATGATGACACGTGTAAATTGTGTTGAAACGTTATGTGCTTTGTTATTAAAGAAGTGAGTTATGCCATAATATACCCCTTGTGTTTTTAAATGTCGTTCAAATCTTAGTATCACTTTAAATCAACATTTCAGAATACATGGATCTTCAGAGTGCTTATTCAGTGGACAAATCTGGTGCCATAAATAATAAATCCATACAATGTAATATTCATAAAACTAGAGTCATTTTGAAATACGCTTAAAGTGTTTTATTAATAATTACTTAGTTCAATTCGTATATCAACTTAAAAAGGGATTCTATTCTTCAATCCTAGCACCTGGCAAGTCCAAAAGATGAAAATATATTCACTTGTTGACACAATTTCAGACTGTCACTTTTAAAGGGGCTGATTCTTCATATTGTTTTATTATGAAAATTCTTTTTCCAAATCAATAAGTGTAACAAAGTTAGTTTAACTATAACTATACGTATTTTAATCTGTGTATATATTAATCTATAACTAAAATAACTAAAGAGAAGAAGAGGTGTAACCATAGAATAATAGTAGAATAAAAAGAGAAAAAACTTCAAAATACTTATTCGGTTATAAAGCTTACATTAAGTTTAAAACAGAATTTTAAAAAGAAGCAGTCTGTTTAACAGGAATACCGGTACATTGAGAAATATATGTAAATGAGGATTAGACCAGACCTATCTATGACCTTATTGGTACAATGTGTTTCAAAACTATGCAAGTGACCCCAAATGCCAAATATGTAGCTAACGGAAAATAGTCAAACATGTCATGAGAGAATTTTAACAGTTTAAAGCAGTTTACATTCATTCACTTATGCCCTCCAAACTTAGGCAAGCGAATAGCCTCAAACATTTCCACAATGCAATATGGTTCATTGTCTTTACTAAATAGAATATTACCTTACCAATTTGAAAAAGGTCAGAAGTGTCCAATAATATAAGATTGTCATTCTTGGAGTAGGTAATACCCCTGTAAACAATACTGTCGCAGATGAGAGAACTTTCCATATCTATTTTGCTACTTTTTATACTATTCTGTACAGTACTATTATAGTCCTCCATATTAAAAGGAATTGAATTTTGTATAAAAAGTTCATTGTCAAATAGACAACCACTAGAATAATATGCTTGCAAATATTGCTGTTGTTCAGATAGGGTGTATCCTATATTTTTGAAATTTTGAAACCTTCGTACACAACGCTTGAAATAGGAATGTTTTGATTCCATTCTCATCGTCCAAACTCTAATTAGAGGACCATATTGCAGAGTCAGTAAAGGGTAATGGTGTACATAATGATGTTTTGGTTTAAAGCTGACTTGAGGGAACAAACGTTTACGTTCACTTATATAAAGTAAGATCAATTCCTCCATGTAACTGATTTGTCCCAAACTGATGGATGGAGAACTGATGTAAAGAACCATTTCCTGGAGTGATAGTAATAGACTCCATACAGGATCTGTTCTATCACGGACATTCGTTGCAAAAAGTAGAGGGAAAAGTCTCAAAAGAGACCAAATTTGCATTGCATTTCCAGGCAATTTGACTTTGTGAGGTTTCAATGTACAAGGTCTATCAACTGCATCATTCAGTTTAAATGGGAATTTTTCAATATGACTATTTATATAATCGTAAGTCAGCCACTTGACTTTGACAAAATAATCAATCATAAGCTGCAAGTCATAAGCAACCACTCCTTCAAATAAATCATGTGCAATACAAGGAGGAAAGCCTGAACAAACATGAAAATGAGATAATTTATTTAAGACAGAATCTCTTTTAATACCTTTATATGTTTTTAAATCAGGATGGTCTTCGAGATGTTTCAGACAGTCCTTGTAATTTTTGTTCTAGGTTCTTTAGGTAATATATCTTTATCACTCTTTGCATGAAGGCAAAATCGGCACCAATATTCACCTGAAAAGTTTTCCACAAATCCACCTAAGTAATGTGAACCTAAATTATCCCCTAAACAAGATATTACTGTACCAAATAAAGGCCCTGTTATTCCATTTACATCAAAAAACCCTTCATTTTCAAACCGTTTGCAATCAGTAATGAAATTTTTAAACACCACTTCAGCACCGAATTCAGATAAATCCTTGTCCCGACATAGTGCAACAAGCTGGATTGTATCAATTTTGGATCTGTTCCATGGATAAAAGTTGCCTAATGTAAAATGAATACCAATCATCTTATGTTTTGTTTTTGCTGCACCTATTGGATTCACTATTTCAAAGGCATCTTGATAGAGCATAATTTGAATACGAGAATTATCTTGAAAAAAGGGATTGCTTTTAAAATGAGTGCCATCACGAATATCATGCAATTCATTCCGATTAAAATTAATAATTGGATTATTATACTGATCTAAAACTGATCTGTCTTGAAAGAGAGAGGCAATGAGTTTTTCTAAATGCACATAGTAACTATAAACAGGACCTTTAATATTTTGACCAATTTTACACTTTACTGGAGGAACATGTCTAAATTTTGATTTGTAATAAATATTCCTTCTGTAAGTTGAACGAAACGGGCCCTCATCTATGTCGGTTGCATGCAAAAACAGATTATGATTTTGAATTTCCACAAGCAACTGTTCTGCTACCTCATTTGAAAGTCCTTGTTCTACTAGTTTCCTTTTTAACATTTTCTTCATATTTTCCCAACCTAAGGAATACAGATTGCCAATTTCTTCGACTATGAACTGAATTGTGGACTGAGGGACCAATTGCTTAGCCTGCAATTTTAAGTAAAATAGAGCAAAGCTGGTCATTAAATTACTTTCATAGTCATCTATGCTACAATCTTCATTATTGTCTGTTATGGTTTCGTTAGTTTCGATATCTATATTGTCCCCAGTTCCCTCATGTTCAGTGTCGTCAAACTGATCTGTGAATTCTTTGTCAATTGCAGAATATTCTGTCTCTGCTGAATCGCATGTAATATTGTCATTAACAAATTGTTGATTGAAGCTATCTTTAGTCCAATTGTGATGTTTTCTTGTTAAGTGAGAAGAAAATGAGGACTTGATTTTAAACAAACTTTTACATGGATATATTGGACAGCATATTTCATCTCCTATAAACAAATGTGATTTTAAATGTGCAATCAAAGATTGTGGATTATCAGAAACCTCATGACAGTCAGCTACTGAGCATTTATAAACTGACGAAGTTGCAGAAGTCAACGCTGGCAATCTTGATATTCTAAGATTAAATCGTCGCTTTGTGTGATACCTAGACATATGAGTCTGCAACGCATTGTATGACTTGCAGAATTTATGACAAGAAGTTAAAGCACATGGAAATTTGACGTTTGCAATGTTTCTGTGAAATGCATAATGTGCACAGTAAGACTTTACTGACGTACATTTGTATTTACATACATGACATTCATACATTATTGACGAAGAGTGAGTGTGACACACTCAATATATAAACTTACAATGTCAACTTTTCAAATATGGCGTTTTTCCCGGAATCCTCTAGACTTCCACGAGGTTATAACACTCCATCATCCAGTCTGGTATAGTATAAGTCAATCAGCAATTAGACTCGATCATCCAAAAGTCTGGGTGTCAGAGACTAATAACCAATATTTGCGATCAATGAGTCGTTGTGTTGTCAACTATCAAGGAAAGAGAATCGTGTAGTTTTATAATTTTATGCATTTTTTATTGATGCGGATAACATTTACTTAGGTTTAATAATAATAAAATTAAAAAATGTTGTTCTATCGTTTATATTAGAATATAATATTAGTGACTTACCTTAAATATAAAGTGGGTAACAACGTTAATCATCTGTAAAAGTTGCTAACTGCTTCTTGCACTGAGATTTGTTTTCGGGCTGCGGCTTTACAAAACACGCGGGTTAGTTTTGAAACGGTCCTTCTTTTTTGTTAGATAGTTATTATCTTTAAACTATATACAATCAGAAGTGTGCTGAATAAACACAAACGAACGCTACGAAGTTTTCATAAATAAACAGTTATCCTGTCATAATTTTCTTTTAATTTACAGTGATTCTGTTATAATTTTCGTAAATTTACAGCGATGCTGTTATAATTTTCGTAAATTTACAGCAATGCTGTTATAATTTTCCGTAAGATAATTCTGTCAAAAATAGTATGTCAACGCATGCGCAGAATTCACTTATTCACAGACAATTTTGGGACATGCATAATAATAAAACAAAATTTACGTAAATTTACAGACAAATAACGTATTTGTTGTTAATTAACAGATAAATATAGCAAATTAATGTATTTTGCTATTACGGAACTAACATTCTGTTAATATAGGAGAAATGTACGTAAATCAACAGAAAACTATATGTATCAACAGAAATTTACGTGTATCAGCAGAAAAAACTGTGAAAATATCTGTGAAAAAAACGGACTTTTTTTACAGTGTAATATTGTTTATTTGTAATTCAAGTATTTAAAATTATCTTACCTGTGCGTTTACATATTGGGTTTTGATATCTCCATTCTTCCTCAACACATTCCAGCCCTTGTACCATCTTGAAACCTTCATTACATGTAATGACTATATTTCCATTGCAATCCTTATCAAAATTTGCGTCTGTTATATTAGGATACGTCGAACAACCTGTAAATTTAATTTTGATAATATTTGTTGCCATTATTTACTTCTGACTCGATACACTACCCCCCGACAATTATATCATCAAATATTTGTCTCAAGAACTACATGTTAATTTACTATTTACAGACAAAGATGATTTAAAATGTGTTTAAGCTAGTTATCCATGCTGCTGAAAAGAAAGTTGTCTTGAGTAAATTTCTTCTGACTCGGACTCTTCCCACAATAAAAAAGCTAACATAAATTTCGCCCAGATATACAAACTTAGACTCTAGATTCATAAAGCAACTTTTAGATAATAAATAAAATATTTACCGGCGTCTGTAAGAATAAGTATAACTGAAATCAACAGAACGGAACATAATAGGTTATTCATGGTTTTAACATTATATTTATAGAGACTTGTTGATACACTGTCGAATGCTAGATTTGGTCACGTATTTATAGTAAATGCAAAATCGCCCACTGAACAGATGTTTCTTTGAAGACTGTAAATTAATATTTTATACCAGCAGATCAATGATAGATGATCATTATTATTTAACAGAACTTTTTAACGAAAGGTTACCATTAACATTTCACCAAAATATTCTACAGGTAAAATGTAAAACAATAATAATACTAGAACTGTGAACAGCTTAACCCTTGGCTTTTGAACCTTTTGATACTCCTAGTCTGTTAACTTTCAAACCTGGTGTTCTTAACCCTTGGCTTTTGAACCTTTTGATACTCCTAGCCTGTTAACTTTCAAAACTGGTGCTCTTAACCCTTGGCTTTTGAACCTTTTGATACTCTTAGCCTGTTAGCTTTCAACCCTGGTGCTTTTAACCCTTGGCTTTTGAAACTTTTGATACTCTTAGCCTGTTAGCTTTCAACCCTGGTGCTTTTAACCCTTGGCTTTTTAACCTTTTGATACTCCTAGCCTGTTAGCTTTCAACCGTGGTGCTCATCTCAAAATTCTCAATTTGTAAAGAATAATACAGAGAAAAGTTACGTATAAGGGCCTAAAAAATCGTCAGCAACACGAGCGGGCACACAAGCGAAATTTTTTAGTGATTTTAAAAATTGTCGCAATCATTACATACCCCAATATTGTCTTAGTTGGGTCTAACATCTATTTTATTGACAACTTTAAGTGGCCTTATTAAGTTGTATTGGTCTTAAATTCCCCAAAAATGATATTAATATTTCACTTGTTATGATTTGATGCCTACAGATTTCAACAGCAGTCTTACCGATTGCGACATTTCTGCCGAAGAAAGTACCATTGATCCATAAATTGGCATTTGACCGTATATGTTTGAACCAAAGTAGCCGAATTCCGAAATTAATTCCGTTATTGTAGCCCGTTCCACTATGAAATTAAAAAGACCAGATCGATAATAAATATTAATTTTTAGGGCGATGCTTATGCGACGAAGGAATTTGGTTCATATTTCTTTCCTACTAAGACTAAGAAATCTCGTGTCAGTGCCTGTTTACAAAATCACGTGTGGACTTACGTACACACGTTCCATATAATATTTGGCAAAACTGTAAATAACCACTATAAACTATAAAATATCCTTATCAGTAGGCCTACAATTTCTTTTAATTTTATTTTGTCAGTGTGGGCTTGTGAAGAAATGCCAACATGAGATTAAAAACAGCCTACAATTTGTGAACAAGAGATTAAATTTTGATAAAGTGGGAAGAGCCTTGAATTATTAACGCAATAAAATAACAACTTGGTTGTATATATTACAATACCAAGTATTGGCAATTCAAGTTTATAATCTCGTATCAATAATATTGTCTATTCGTTTGGTTTCATTCTCATTAGGGCTAATTCCCATTTGAGCTAATATTTTCCCCTTAGGGCTCCTAGCTCGAGCTACCTCTCATTGTGTCATTGGTCCTCGTGAAATATAACTCCGTAGTAAAATTGTTGAAGTTAAGAAATGGTCAATCCATTTCAGGTGTATGTGGCCAAGTGTGACTGGTGTAACAGGTGTGATAGGGAGCCAGCTGTCCAGCTGTACATGAGTTTAGTACCAACACAAAACGAAACCCGAAATCCAAATCAACATTTTCATTTTGGTGTCGCATTGGTTGCAGCTAATGAACTTTTCACATGAGGAAGTATATCAATCATAAGTGAGTAAGTATTTCATAATGAAAAGTGGTACCGGATGCTGGTGGTAATTTGTACCATCGTTTCAAATTCATCCACACGAAACAAAAGACTGGATGAGCTTTCCTCCTTTCTTCTGGACAGAAAATATCCACAAACCCTGATCACAGATGGGATTTTGAAGGCTGAGCAAGTAACTCTACAAGAATTGCGCACAGTTAAACCAAAAGGAGGACAACTTACTAGTCTTTGTTTCAACGTTTAACCCGAGAAACCCAGATTTATCAAATACATTTGTGAATAACTTTCCAATTCTTAGAAAAAATCAAAGAATGGAGTCTGTTATTAACAAAATCAAATATGTTAAATCAAAAAGCCAGCCCAAAAATTTGAAAAGTATTCTGACAAGAGCCAAGTTTTTAACCAAAGAGAATAACTGCCAAGTACTCAAAGGTAATGGCAAACTCTGCGGGTTATGCAAATATCTTTTTGAAGGGTCCTCTTTTAAATTCTCAACGGGTCAAACATTTAATGTGAAAACTAATATGACATGTGCTAGCAAGTTTGTTATATATGTGATCACATGTTGTAGATACAACGAGCTCTATATTGGCTGTAGAAATAATTTACGGAACAGAATAACCATTCATAGACAACAAATCCGGGATCCTAAAACGAGAATGATTCCGTTGAGTATATACTTTGATGTCTGTGCAAGGGGAATATCCCCAAATTTTATGGTATTTACATTCTACAAAATGTCCAGCCAAGACAACCTACTAATGGGAATCAGTAAATATTTTATTGAGAAGATAAAGCCTAAATTAAAGGGATTTGTTTGATCTTTATGTATATTTTGTTTATTTTTCTTTTTCTATTAGTGTAAATCCATCATATTAATATATCTCCTAAAGACAATATCATGACGTCATATTGTTGTTTATTGTATTGTTGCTATGCCTTGAAAATATGAAATTGAAACATGTTGGCAGTAAAAATTAACTATCTTTATCGGCGTTATTGATCTCATTTAACTCTATATAGATATATTTTTTTTCAGGCTGATAATCTTTGTTTAAAAAGTGCTATAAATATCTGGGTATTGCCTACTGTCTGTGATATCCATGCATAGCCTAGGCCAAAGTTGAATAACAATGTACTCACATTCGTTGCCCATGTTTTTAATTGGTTTCGTTTCATTTTTAAAATAATTTTGATTCCATAATATTGACGTCAACAAAAATTCCGTCAAATTGAATAGTTTCGTTTTCTAGTATGGAAATCTACGATACTTAAATTTAACAATGCTCATTCTAGCGCCTTTTTTTTCACTCCTGTATGCCGGTTGGCAGCGGTAGGTGGTTGGCTTTTAAAACCCACCCATGTTTTTCGCTAAATCTAGATTAAATAGCATAGAATACACATTTTTTGGCAACCTACAATCATCCATAGTTAACAAATTGATCCAAGACTAGAACCCACAACCACCATTTGTTCGATGAAACCATGCAGATGACGTCATATACAGATTTCATCGCTCTAACTGAATTATTGCTTGCTCGCTAACCTGAAGATTCAGGGTTCAATCCCGGCATAGGTCGAGATAATACCTTCGGATTTTTCAACCCGGTTTCCCCCTGTCAGTGATGCAGGTAAGTGCTACTGGCTGTGCACGTTAAAGATCCCTCGACAGTTGGAAATCGAAAAAGAGCAGGCTAATGCCGATGTCCTGGCAAAATTTCCCTCATCGCACTCTGCATGGCGTTGCCCGTCTTCATTAGCTCACATGGTGCAGAAAAGTAGGACGTAAAACTCCATTCATTTCATTTCATTTCTAACTGAATTATTATTATTATTATTATCAAGATGTATTCTTAAAGCACATCTTTCACCTGAGTACCCAGGTGCGCCTTACAGTAAAGTCGGTAATAAAATTGTTGTCGTTAAGAAATGGTCAACCCATACAAGGTGTAACAGGTGTGACAGGTGTAACAGGTATGATAGGGAGCATGAGTTTAGTAGCACGTGTAGAATGATGTAATAATTCTTCTATGAAACGGAAATAAGGAATATGATAAACTAAGTACCAACGCAAAACGATTTTGGTGTCGCAGAC